ATTTAAAAGCATGATATAATACCTTTAAGTCACCAAGGACGATAGATCGATTGCTTAACAGGAACTTTCAGTTTCATTATGAGCGGACTATGATCAGAAATAACTATCGCTCCATGATCACATTCACTCACTAAAGGTAAAATCCGTTTATCAAGGAGAAAGTAGTCAATCCGTGAATAGCTCTTATGAACAGGGGAAAAGAATGAATACCGTCTCAGGGTCGGATTTCGAAAACGCCACTCGTCAACCAATCTATAAGTGTTAAGAAATGAATTAATTGACTGGACCGATTTAGAGAGAGAAATCTTTCCCACTGTACTACGATCGAGGGATGATAGCACACTGTTCACATCTCCCCCAATTATGAGATTATGTGTTGAAATATTAGGTAAATTTGAAAAAAGCGTATTAAAAAATGTTTGGTCATCCCAATTTGGAGCATATACTGAGACTAAAATGACTGAAAGTGCATATAGTTTTCCCACCACAATAACATAACGTCCAGCAGCGTCCGTTTTAACACTGGATGCCGTAAATTGCACCTGAAGTATTATTACTCTTTATGCTCCTTGCTGCACTGATAAATAAATCACTAACCAAGATCTGGACAGAGCCCCTGTGAAACTCTCATACATAGAACAAAAAAAGGAATGTTGTTCCTTGGAATAAAGTCTAAAATTAAATCAAGAMATAGCGCGGGACATAAAGCTGGAAGGTTCATTCCAACCTGACAGTCATAATGGATTGATGAGGATTGGGCCTGCGATCAACGCCGGTCCTCGTTGTCCGTCGCTGAGATGATCCTCTTTTTAACGTAGTCCATTGCTTTATTAGCATCCAGGAACTCTTTGTTTTCCTCCCCATGAGAGATGCGGAGCCGTGCAGGAAAAAGCAAGCCGTAGCGAACATCTCGTCGGTTGCCAAGGAGCCTCCTCACCTCCGTAAACGCCGCCCGAGCCCTGGCCACAGCGGCTGTGTAGTCAGATGTGATGATAATCGGAGCCTCCTTAAAACGAAGATGGCCATGGCTCCGGGCCCGACGCAATATTTCCACACATTCTTGATAATAGTGCAGCTTAGCAACAATAACCCGRGGCTTATCGCCTGACTTGTTCCCACCTGGAGAGCGATGGGCTCGGTCCACCAGTGGCTCTTTATCCATCTGTAGAACCTCTGCTAGCAGTTTAGCCACTGCTGAAGTGGAGCTGGATTCTGGCATTTCAGGAACTCCAATAATTAGCGCATTGCACCTTCTCATGCGCCCTTCCATATCGTCACACTTCTTTTTGAGCCCATCGACTTCTTCTTTCAGTTCCAACATGGTGGTGCGTAGAGTAATAACCTCATCGGACTAGGATGACAAGCCATCCTCCACCTCTTTAACGCTGTGTTTAAGGTAGTCCAGGTCGGCGCGAAGTAGCATTGTGCCGTTAGCCACTTCCGCTCTCACCGCTTGTAGCTCTCCTTTAATAAAAGTAAACTCRTCAGCCAAAGCCGCTTTTATTTCCGATTTCATCACAGCAGAGTGATCGTTTTTATAGCGGCAAGAATGTCAGACTTCAAGGAGAGTGCGTCCAATTCACCGCGGGAGGGAGAAGGAGGTGCCGAACATCCGGCTTTAGCTGCAGTCTGCTCCGGGGTGGCGTCGGGCCTAACAGCCACAGAGCTAGAATGTTTGCCTTTCCTCAAGTTTGTCGCCATTCTTCTACTCTTCCAGGCAAGAATCACTCAGGGGTCGAGTCCGGACAGTCCAAATGCTCAAAACCGCAAGGACATTTAGTAGAGAACCATAAACAGAACAAGTCGGAGCGGGAGCCCACGCGTCACACGTCTTACTCCTCCACCATCTTGCCCCTCCCTCCAACTGAAACCAGAGAGCGTTGGCAGAGAGGAGAAGGTAGAAATGATTCAGCCTGTAACTGAAAATATGGATGGAGGACCTCAGTTTAGCTTGTTAGTTTGTCGCGCTAGCACCAAGCTAATACATAAGACAGTGTAGCGTCAGTGCTAAAGCTAACAGGCCAAGCTGAGGTTCTTCTTCCATGAAGCAGCTCTGTTGTCCTCCATCCATATTTTCAGTTCCAGGCTGAGTCATTTCTACCTTCTCCTCTCTGTCAACGCTCTCTGGTTTCATTTAAGAGTCGATCATCATATATTGTCCAAGATTAACCTTCAGGGTGGATATAGCTCGCTCACACCGAGGACCTATACACGTCATCATTTACCCAGAATGCTTTGCATGTAAATAAAATGGCTCCATCCGTGTTAAAATATATTTTAAAAAATTTACAAAACTAAAAAGCCTACAGGATTTTACAGTTTTTTACAGTCCTACCGTAATACCTACAGTATTTTACAGTCTTCATTTTACAGTTAAAATATATGTTTATCAAATAAAGTCTAATGTTACAACTAAACGGGGATCCCTTTAAAGAAAGATCTAAATATTTCTCATCCCTCATTGTTTCAAATCTGAATAATCCAAAACATTTCTTTAACACCATTGACTCTTTAATTCATAAATCACATATTTCTGATGAATTATATCCTGAGAGTTGTGAATTATTTTGTTTTTATTAATAAAATACTGTATCTATCAGAGCTCAAATTGTGCAATCTGCCTCTTCTATTCCGTATGAACAAGTAAATCACTTTTCAGTTCATTTAACCTCATTTCTCAGGCTGATTTAGCAAGATTAATCAACAGTATGAAATGTTCCACTTGTTTTATTAGATGTCTTACCAACAATTTTTTTCTGTAACTTCTGACAGCAATTCCTCCAATTCAGCTTCTCTTACTTGCAGAGCTCCCCAAGGATCAATTCTTGGGCCATTATTATTTTCTATTTACATGCTTCCTCTTGGTCTGATTATTTAAAAATTCAATATCTCTTTTCATTTGTATGCAGATGATTCTCGGGTTTATTTGACTATTAARCCATTTAACCTCTCCACTCTCAATAGACATATTTTCTGTTGTGGTGGCACGATTTACCAAGAATGCAGAAACAKGTTGGAATAAATGCACAGAAAGTCCGCGTGTATGGCCGTCAAATGATTTAATTTGAACAACAACAGAGCAGAAGTCAATCAGAGAAGTCTGTCAAGTTGTGGCTGGCGCGTCAGTGCAGAGCAGCCGATAATATAACATCCTGTGACATGCTTACAACCAATCGCAGTTCACCATGTGTGAACCATCTAACCAATGACAGGGCTGTCAGCCCGGAAACACCTTATCAAAATAAAAGAGGTCATGCATCGCTGGAGTCTTTAAGTCTGGGCCGATAGATTAAAACAGCCGAAACTAGTTATCATGAGATATGATTACTGGACAGTATGAAGGTAGAACAGATATACATAATTATTCCATAACAATGTATTTCAGACATCGAAACTTTGATGCCTGATAACCATGTTTTACTTAAAAATTACAAAACTGGTGGCACTGTGGCTCAGTTAGAGCTGATGCAAAAAGGTCAACGGTTCAAATATGTTGTTTTGTCAGTTGAAATTATTGTAATTTCATGAGTTGGTTGATTATAATATTTTGCAGATTATGTATAAGCTCATGAAAACATATTACTCGTAAATATTGAGTCAAGTTTTGTTAAAAGAGAGAGCTGTTATAATCTTAAGGGGATTGAGATGTTTGTGAAGCCTAAACTTCGAACCAGTATGAAGGAACGATGTGCGTCAATTCAGGGAATAAGATTATGGAATAATCTGGAAAGTGCTGTTAAAAATGTCAGATCAATGTTTATGTTTAAGAGAATGATTAAGGTTGGTTTGTTGAAGAAATATGAAAAAGAATAATGTGTTCTCATATAAATTTTGCTTGAGGAGGATTATTGTTATTTTGTTTTGTTCTGTTTTTACTACTCAACGGCTAATTTGTTTACTTTACCTTTTTCCTAAAAAAGGGGCAGATACTGTAGGATTTTTTCCTTCTTTCTGCTGCCTTGCATTGTATTTTTGATATTTTATTTATTGTATGTAAAATTTGTTTTTTTATGGAATTATTATTTACATTTTTTGTAAATTGAAGATTATTTTGTTTGAATTTATCCATTTGTGAAAAAGGGGCAGACATTATAAGATTCTTTCTTCTTCTGCTGCCTTTCATTTTATTTGTGATTTGTGTTTTGTTGTATGTTGAATTTATGTTGTTTTGTTTTAAATGAATAAACTTTATAATAAAAAAATAGGTTGCAATAGAAAAATAATAAAAATTAAGTGTCCTTGCTGGGAATTGAACTCAGATTTACTGCTAAGTTAGAAAGTTCACTTAACAACTAGGCCAACACACTGATGGTGTTGTGTCTCTTCTGACAGACAGCTCCTGCCTAGAGCTAATGACAAAGGTGAGGGCAGACTGAGACTCTGCCCTCAGTCTGCCCTCACCTCTGTCAGTAGCTCTAGTCGACGAGGCTGCCATTATAACAGTGCCACTGAGACCTCTGACCATCAGCAGAAGCAGCAGGGATTTAAACCAGCAACCCACCAGTTACAGGACAACTCCCCTAATGCCCTGAAAAAAGCTCCAGCTCCTTTATTCTGCTTGAGGAACGTTAACACCCATAAAAGTAAAAAGCCACAATGTGAACTGGAGGAGCAGGATTGGGAGGAACAGTCTCTCTGATCTGAACCTGAGTTTTGTACACTTCCGAGAAAAATTTAAACGCTAGTTCAAGCTGAACCCTCCAGGTGAGGGAGGTCATCAAACTGAATGAGCTGCTAACACAACCAGACAAACAAACACATCACACACAGCTGCAGGCAAAAACCATAGATTTTTTATTTAAGGTGTTTGATAACATGAGTTCTTGTTGCAAACACTGTAGACTTTGCCAAGTGTTAACAAACTGTATTGAGAGGGCTGACTGGAACACCCACCTCTTTTCTTCTTCCAGTTGATTGACAAGCTCCACTTTATCTCGATCTGCTGCTTCTACCATTGAACGCAGCTGATCCAGTTTGGCCTCCATCTCCAATGTAAACTGTAATATACAAGAAATTTAAGAATCAATTTTAAATCCTAGCACGGACCCCCCTCCCTCAACATCACCTACTCCTCTAATCCCACCCCATCTTACCTCCCCCCTATGTGTTATCTTAAGCTGTCTGCTCTCTCACAAGTCATTTTTTGTGCACATGACCCTGTGTTTCTGATGTAAACAGGATCAGAGCAATTTTTTTAACTCAACMTTCCTCTTGTGTATTTCTAGCAAGCTGTTAAAGGTAGTGCAACTGTCTCTGTTGCTACATGACCTGTTCACCTGTTCCCCCATGTTTGTCATGTATGTCTTCTTGAATGGGTGTTCTTAACTGTTTGTACAGCGCCTTGTGAATTTATTTCTGTGAAAGGCGCTATATAAATAAAACTTTACTTACTTACATACTTACTTAAATCTGCACACTATGTGAGGTCTCAATAATTTGTTGATGTCTATGGAGAGAYTCCCGTCGTATAACGGGAGCATGCATGAACAGCAAAATTTGAGTGCACATTACACGATTTAAGTGTGCACATAAAAGATTCATCAAGCACATCAACAAGAGATGCATGGCACATGAACAGCTCGCCTGTGAATTTGAAATTTTAGACTTTCATATGTGTTCAATATGTTCAAGTTTGGTGAAAAGGTGGGAAATCAAAGCTTTACCACATTAACTGGGTTACAAAAAAAATACATTTCTGACTTCAAACCTACAGTACAATAAAACACATGCTTACAATGACATTACTGGGTTCCAGAAATGTAACACATACAGCTGAAATAAACAACTTAAAATGAATAGATTGAGAATTTATCAAAACAAATATATATTACCGTAAAAATACATGTCACTCAAATGTTATTGTGTGCGCTCAAGTCTTGACATGAAAATAGTAGTGTGTGCACTGTTTTGAGTGAGCTGTGATATGAGTGATCTCAGAACAATCCATATTTTTGAGGGGCAGATAAGTTAACACGTGCCTACCACTAAACAAAAGACAAATACAGTTTTTATCATCAGATTGTAGACTGTTGTACAAGGGGTTGAGTCACTGAAGGAGGAAGAGCTTTCCGATATCGAGATGATGTCGTCGCTTACCAGTTTTTCTGAGTTGCTAAAACACAAACACAAAACCCAATTTTCAAACTACTTTCACAGAACCTCTGATTCTTCCTGCAAAACCAAACTCTAGCCCCAAAATAGTTCAAAATGTGCTCAAAACTGAACAATGTTGTCAAATCAGATCTCGAATAAATCAAAAGATCAAACACTACTGAGCAGTCAGTACACACAACAGGAAAAAAAGAACACACAATAAGATCATGAAGCTTTTGAAATAATCTTTACAAAGGAAAAGGCATTTCCTAAACAAAACACTTATTTATCACTTGTAGTAAAAAAATAATAAAATAAGACAGCAGCTGTCTATGAAGAGGAAGAAGGTGGACTTACAGGAGTACACATCTGCTGTTCTGGGGTATGTGGAGGACGTTACCACCACAAAGGCAGTAAGACACTACCCAAATCAAAAACCCTGGCTAATGCAGAGGTCCGCACTCTGCTTAAGACCAGGAATTCAGATAAGGAGATGCTTAATCATTAAGGGCAGTAAGGATAAATCTGACTGCAGGAGTGAAATGGGTAAAAGATGCATATGCCACCAAGATACAGGGTCACTTCACTTCCCAGGACCCACACAGCATGTGGCAGGGCATTAAATGCATCACAGACTGTAAAACCAGAGGTGCACAGTGCCTTGACGATCCCTCCCTACTTGATGCCCTTAATAGGTTCTACAGCCGTTTTGAGGATTACAGCACCTTCAACAGCATCACACTCGACCCTGAACAGAAGAAGAGTCCATCTTGGTGAGCCCAGCAGAAATGAGGAATACTCTCCAGAGGATAAACCCTCACAAAGTGGCTGGTCCTGACCACATCGCAGGATGAGTTCTGAAGGACTGTGCCAAACAGCTTTCTGATGTGTTCACGGACATCCTGAACATCTCTCTCTCTCACAGGCAGCAGTCCCCACCTGCCTTAAGACAGCCGCTATTATCCCCATCCCAAAAACCTCCACAATCACAAACCTAAATGACTATCGGCCAGTAGCTCTGATCCCAATAGTCATGAAGTGCTTTGAAAGGCTAATTATGGCTCACATTAAAGATTCCATAAACATCACTGTTGACCCACACTAATTTGCATACAGGAAGAACCGGTTCACTGAGGGTGCTATCTCCTCTGTGGTTCACACAACTCTCACTCACCTGGAGAACAGAGACTCTTATGTGAACCTGCTCTTCATGGACTTCTCATCAGCTTTCAACATCATCATCCCGCAAACACTGGTCCAAAAACTGTACTCCCTCGAACTGAAATCATCCCTCTGTCACTGAGTGCTGGATTTTCTGACAGGCCACAGTCTGTGAGAATCCGCAACATGTCCTCATCCTCCATCACTCTCAGCATAGGCTCCCACCAGGGATGCATGCTGAGCCCCTTATTGTTCACACTGCTCACATACAGTATGACTGCTCAGCAAAACACACAGACTGCCAAATAGTGAAATTTGTGGATGACAAGGCTGTTGTTGGCTGTATCACCAACAATGATGAGTCTGGCTACAGGCAGGAGGTGGAACGTCTGCAATCGACATTATTTTTTCCACACTGAGATTGGAGCGAGGAGAGAGCAGCCGTCACAGTAGAACTGTCGTGGCGGGCAGAGTTTCTGGGTCCTGGGGGTGGAATCTGATCTGCCTGGCCTCGCTCTCTATTGAGGATGTCTAAGATGTGTTTATAWTCCGATTTATGATAATCAGATTCCTGCTGATTGGCTGTGGAGGAGTCCTAGTTTATCGGAAAATGAAAACGATCCTGACAGCAGTCCGGGTCTGTGAAAAGCTGTCAGGGACCTTCGATGGGATCTCCCGTACTGCAAACGCACAGACTCAAATGCTGGGGGATATAAGTCGCAGACTGGATGTGATTCTGATGAGGATCACAGTTCAGCAGCGTGCCCGTGAGGAGTGAGGCTACACCTGGGTGAAGTTTCATACGGGAGAGGTGAGGTGGTAAACAAATCTGGAATATTGGCATTTTTCGCAACACAGAGACACAGATAAGGCTTAAAGAAGAGAAATCAGCCTGCTTGGCCCTAAATAACAATTACGTTTATCATTGGATCCCTGCAGCTGTGACCTTGGATGCAAGCTGATAAAACCTCCCTGGAATGACACGTGAGAAGAAAGCCTTGACTCCCCCCCATCCCCACCCATTCCATCCGTGCTCAGATCGGTCTGAAGGCCGCATTGGGTGGAGACAGAGAACTGAACTCTGGTGACTTGTGCTTTGACTGATAACAACTGGTTTGGACTCTTGAGGTCTTCGGATCGGTTCCAACACGGAGTTCTGCCCTGGATGTCACCGGCTCCGCTGAACCCTTCCCTATACCATGTGTTTTGACCCCACCCCACCCCCCTCTCCTCCTTAGCTAACTGCACTGTCGCAGAGTAGTTTTTTTGTGCATATGTTTATGTGTTTTCTGTATAAAACATAGGATCAAAGCTCTTTTTTTAAACTTACCCTTCCTATTGTGTGAGTATTCTAAACTGCAAAGGTAGCGCATTAAGTTGCGAAAGACCCTGGACATTCGTTCCCCCATGTTTGTCATGTGTGTGTTTCTCCGGACGGATGTTCTAAACTGCAAATTTCATTCTGCACTGCATCTTGATGTTGTGTGTGAATGACAAACGATTCTGAATTCTGAATTAGTACAGTGTCACTTTGACTACGCTTGCACATTCTGGTATTCCAGACTAAGTAAGCACTACAAGACTAAGCTACAGCATACCCAGAACGAAGTGATACGATATCTATTAAATGTAGGAACTCGCACACACATTGGAGCACAGGGGTTTAGTCAGGTTGGAATGCTACCATTTGAGCTACGGGTTAATCAATTAAAATATAATCTTCTTCATAGTATTACAAACAATAAAGCTCCAAACTACTTATCTCAACAGTTTGAACCGGTACAAAATCATCACTCAATCATCACTCAATCGTCATTCAGTCGTCACTCATTCGTCACTCAAGGTTCAGTAAAGTCATTTCAAGACCCAGCTGGCAAATCTTATGGCAAATCCTCCTTTCGTTATACTGGTGTATTGCTGTGGAACGAGTTACCTGAGCATATTCAGGTTACTGTACGTAAGCCCCTGTTCAAATGTCAAGTTAAACAGTTTTTATTCCAAAGYTTAATCAGGCAAGAATTGAATGATTATATTTATTATTAGTTTTTTTTTTGTTTGCTTTTTGATTATTTGATTTTTTTTGATGATTATGTGCTGGACCACAATGGAAATAAGCTTTATGCTTTATTGTGTTATACATTTATATTAATGTTACTTTATACTGTATGCAGTGCAATTTATTTGATAAATAAAATGAATGAATGAATGAATGACTTTATCTGACCTGATCCCGGCCTTTCCTCAGCAGAACCAGCTCCTGCTGCACTTCTCCCGCATGGCTGGTTGCTTTGGCGACCTCGCCTCTCTCCAYGTCCCTCTCTGCTAACAGCTGTTCAATGTGCTGCTGCTTCTCTTTCAGAGCCTCTTGAAGTGCTGTGGTGCAGGAAATCTTACGCGCGTACCGAGCAGACGTTTCTGTTAGCTGAAAAATTATACAAACATAGGCTGAAGAAAATGTTTACTTTTCTTGCTCAAAAGGTTAAACAAGATTATTAACATATTCCTACTCTCTTGGTCAAGTCAATTTACACAACATGCAATTCCACTCTGCTCTGGTCTGACCTCCGCAGTAAATACGCAACCATTATAATTAACGAGAGTATTTACACTGGCTCTGCGTGGCGGTGCAGGTGAGCTGATGGCAATCCGCCAATATTAGATTCAATACTATTTTTTCCGGATGCCGGAGCTGAATCGAAGTCAATCTACAAAGATGATGTRACACAAAAGGGAAAAAGAACAAGCACAACATCCTTATTTTCAAAATAATTCACAAAAGGCAGACTAATTTTGTAGAAATCCTAGCTATAATAATAAATATATGGGTATGTTTACACACAAATGCTGTCAAAACGTATCGTTCTGTTTGGGAAGAAGATGGCAACATGTAGCATGCAACACGTACATACACACATGAAACACGTGGATTTTATTTTGAAATCAGACGTTTCAAAAGGATGACAGTGATACAGTTTCAACTGTGTTTGGAGTCTTCCACACAAACATTTCTTTTGCTATGACTTCCACATTTATCACTGGATTTATCACYCAATCTCGCATTTCCTACAAACATTTTTCAGACCTCCTCTGTGCTTCGCACTGGAGCRGAGCGGACACCATATAAATTGGGGTGCAAACGAATGGCGGTGAACTGCGCAGCACCCCAAATTTACACTACATGCGAACCAAATCACAACTTGCAGTAGACAAGTGGTTTGGTACACAAGCTCAAATAAAACTAAAACTGCACATTTGAACAACTTTTTACAGTGAAATAGGTTTTATYTAGTCATATTTGTGCTAAGCAAATCTATTCCTTTAAGGGACAATATCATGTAAAATCAGCTTTTGAGCTTCATATCATGTTATGTTATCCTCTCATCAAAAACAAGCCCAGAGTCTTGRTTTAATACATTCATGCATGTTTGACAAATAGGCAGCCAGGCAGGGGAGCAAAAATGATCGGTTGGGACTAGAACCACCTTTTGGGATCAGCTCCTCCTCTGGGCTGTGTCGTCCTCATCACAGAGCACACCTCCCCCATCCCCCCGGCCTGCCCTGCAACCCCTGCAGGCTATCAGCAGCATCTGCTGAGCTCCTAATAACACTTCTCAGTGCAGCCCTTTTCAGATTAAAAATAKATTTGATGAAAAGGATTTTTAAACTACACCAAGCTTACGCATCACAGCATCCCCACCTCGCGTGCACACCCCGCCCARGACTCCTGGAGGCTACCGACAGGATATCTAAACTTTCAGCTAAGACACTAAACAAGGTTTTGTATCAGCTGTTATTATTACAGGATAAGTCTTACCAGTCCTGCACGGCTGGGTTTGCCACTGATGGAGGAGGTGGCTGAGCTAAGGGAGCTTATTGAGGAACCACTGGGACTCCTCTTAAGAGTGGACCTCCTGTGGGAGCTTTTTGTCTTGGTAGGAGTGGTGCAAGGGAATCCAATCCGTGTGACCTTGTGAACAGGAGCAAAAAGGCCATATCTGGGCAYGCACTGGAAATATCTGAGGGAAAATAGGTTGGAACACACAGTCAGTTTATGGAAACATTTAGATCTGTCACGTTTGTAAAGAAGTTGACCTAAGAGCAGGCAGACACAAGGACATTAAACGAAAACTGATTTGTTAAATCAACGTAAAGAGAAGAGCTGCCATGGCAGCAAAAAGCACTGAAAACAGCAGAATGAAACAACAAGGGCGTYGAGACAGGATAGGGAAATAAACAAGTAGATAATTGGAAACAACTGGGAGAAACACAAGGGAACAGGTGTGTGGGTGGAGCTGGGGAGAGACATAAAGGGAAAGAAAACACTAAAGAACTGAACACACAAGTAAGTAAAAGAAACCCATGGACAATAATATACAGTACAGTAACAAAACCCAAAGACATTAATTCAAAACTCTACAAGATCAGCCTAAAAATCTTCACATCAGTTTTATGGCTTGTTATTTAAACCATTTCTGATTGTTTATTTGATTTCTTAGGCAGCTTAAAGTATTTAACACATTTCTCCCCAACTAATGAARTGGTTGTTTAAATATAAGGGATCAGCTAAACTTTAGCACAAAGCTAAAATTAGATAATATGTAAAAGTTGAAATAGACAAAACTATATCTAAAAACTAAAATTAGCAAGACCGTAGCAAAAAGCCAAAACTAGCAAAACTGCAGCAAAAAAGCTTATACTGACAAAACAATAGTTAAATGTTAAATGTAACAAGACAATAGCTAAAAGCTAAAAGTACCACAAGAACACAAAAACAGAGCAAATATGCTAAAACAGAATTTAAAGCTAATGTTTTTCAATAATTTAAARAGATCTTCATATATTTTTCTAGGAAAAGTTTATTTAAATAAGGTAAACAGTTCCAGCACACTATTTGTGATTAAGCTGAATGTTTGATTTATTAAATGTGAAATTAACACAAAGTGTGTTTTTGAGTAAACAAAAAAACATAAAATAAACTGTCAATAGGATAATGATAGCATGAAGGCATTCACACAAACAACCATTTTAAAAAATGAGTAAAATGCAGAATTGACTCTAGAATGAAATCATACCCAGTTGTGTATTTTTTTGTTTCTTTAAGCATTATGAGCTGTGTACCTTCCAGTTACACTACACAAAAGAGAAGGCAGCTTACTAATCTGTATGGATAGACAATAGTACAGGCACAAAATACCTAAGAAATATTTTGAGTTGATGACTCTTAAAAATAAAAGTTTTTACAACTGTATTGTACAGTATATTAAAATTGGGATGTTGAATAAAATGTAAATAAAAATATTGTAGAATGCAATGATTTACTAKGTTCATAAAATATTGTTTTACAGTGACACATGGTAAACATATACTCACCGGCCGCTTTATTAGGTACACCTGTCCAACTGCTCGTTAACACTTAATTTCTAATCAGCCAATCACATGGCGGC